CTCTTCTCTCCCTCTCACTTCTGACTTCACTGCATCTGCAGACTATGAGAGAAGAGATACAGAGCTTGGTGACATTGGATCTAGACTCGACTTTCGAGGGTTCAGACATGGCAACGAGGGACTATTTGGGATTGGTGACCAAGACTTGGTGTCAATGACATTCCCATCTTCTTCCCTCCTTTCGTCTGTTCCTTATCTCTTCGTCTGTGTTGGACCTGGCGCTTTCTTCCTGTGTGTAGCGCCAGGCTCCTTCACACTTCGTGATGGATACAATGCATGTTTAGTCTGAGTTCAAACATTGATTGGGCTAGTTAGAGGTACTCTAGCATTCTGCTTCGTTACTCTGAACTACGTGAACGAGGTCAGTCCTGTCATGTCAGTCTTTGTATCAAGTCTTCCCTGCGCTCTTCAGCATCTTTATGTATGAATGAGAATGTACATTGCTGGTTGAGATTCTCGTAACCGCATTGTCTATTCAGTCCTTTTCATCACATTGCAGATTCTCGGTTTATTGCATACATTGCATATCTGTGCATATAACACGCTGCCACAGCGACTTGTGCAAGGAGGTCTGCAGTTGAGCCCGGAGGACGCAGTGGGCGAGATTGGAGGAGATTAGTATAGCGATAGGTTAAAGGCAGCCATATCTGCCATAGCAGTAGTTAGTAGGAAGTGTGTGTGTGTGTGTGTGTGTGTGAGGGTTCAGAGTGACGTGCGTGGGATATCCAGGGTGATCCAGTGTGTGTGAACAGTGAGTTGTTTGGGCGCTGAAGTCGCCATAGCCAGTTGAGAGTGAACTCGTATCTGGTCGCTATATCTCTGAGTTTTGAGTGGGCGCATGTCACCAGTTTGTTGCGTTGCTGTTTACATGCATGAAAAGTGTGTTTGAGAACGAGTCTGGTTGCAACATTGTCCATTCAGTCCTTTTCATCACATTGCGGATCCTTGGTTTATTATGTACATCGCCCAACTGGGCATGTAACAGTGGGCGTGAATTGGCAAAAGCCCGAGTTGGCAGATTCTTGTAGGAGCAAGACTGTTTTTTTTTTTTTTTTTTTCCTGGAAATCATTGAAACGGTTTTCACCTCTGTGCAGTAGCAGACGCAGATCCCAGTGTCCGATCCCTAGACCTTGCCCTACCTGTGTACAGACCTGTGTAGACCCCGAGCGTTGAACCTGCGACCTGTGTATTTGTAACAAGCTAGTAGTCTGTCGTAGGGTCCCGAAGGAAGCAGGGGTTCGATCTGTAGATCTATAGAGTAGGAGTCTTAGCGAGTTCCAGAAGCCTAGCTCCTTCTAGAAGGTCAGCAAGTGGGCAAGTGGGCAAGTGGTGAGTCAAGTGGTGGACTAAACTGCAGTGCAATCGCAGTACGACTACGGTAGGTTAGCAGTGAGTCCACAGTCAGTCAGCGGTAAGGTCCAGTCAGTCCTAGTCCGGTCCAGCAAGTACCACGAGGGGCTGTGAGCACCATGGGCCGATGGAAAGGGGCAGACCACTGAGTTTCAGAAGTATAAATCAAGAGGCAGCGCCCAGCCATTCATTAATTCCTGCGTGAGCCATGCGGAAGCGCTGCCACAACGACTTGTGCGAGGAGGTTTGCAGATGAGCCCGGAGGACGAAGTGGGCGAGAGAGGAGGGCGTAGCATAGCGATAGGGTAGTAGCGGCTACTGCCGCCATAGCTAGAGTTAGCGAGTAGTGTGTGTGTGTTGTGAGAGTGTTCAGAGTGACGCGTGTGGGATATCCAGGGTGATCCAGTGTATGTGAACAGTGAGTTGTTTGGGCGCTGAGTCGCCGTAGCTAGGTGAAAGTGAGCTCGTATCTGGATGCCATATCTCTGATTTTTGTGTGGGCGCATGTCGCCAGTTAGCTGCGCTACTGTTTACATGCATGAAAAGTGGAATGAGAACGAGTTTGGTTGCATTGGTATAAGAGCTGGTACCCGCTATTCCATGCGCGCCGTCGTGTGCAGGGCCTGATGCGCCATAGTTGAGGTGGCCGCCATAAGTAGTAGTCCACCATAGCGGACCGAGAGGTTGGAGAAGCCGCCGCGCACCTGCAAGAGAAGACCACGACGAAGAAGAAGACTGAGAGAGAGAGAGAGAGAGAGAGAGGTTGAACGATACAAGATTGGGTTACTACGTACCTGCTGTGCTGGAGATCTGCTACGACGAGAGAGAGAGAGAGAGAGAGAGAGAGAGAGAGAGAGAGAGAGAGAGAGAGATGAGTGATACAAGTTTGGCTGTTACGAAGTGTCACCACGGAGTAACGAAGGAGGGTGAGAGAGGACAGGGGGAGAGACCGAGCAGGGTGAGAAAGCCATAGCCGAGAGGTGAAGAGAGAGCCGATTAAAAAAAAAAAAAAAAAAAAAAAGACAGCAGGGTGAAAGGAGACGAGGAAGGTGAAGGGAAGAAGGAAGGTTGGCGAGGAAGGAGAAACCGGCATCCATAGCTGACGGGAGGTGTTGACCAGCAGTTGACCGGCGTTGACCGGAGTTGATCGGGAGGTGACTGGGGGTTGACAGCAGTGTTGACCGGCGTTGACCAAGATCGTTGACCACGAGTTGACCAAGCTGGAGCCGGTACCATCTCGCCAAGCACTCAGCCTATCCCTCGCCCTATGGATGTGCACACACCCCTTGGTACTTGCTAAGTCCAGTCTGTCTGTCTCTTCTCTCTGCATCGAGTCTCTTCTGTCCTAGGTGATAGTACTCTGTGGATGAAGGATAGGGCCCTGTTGACCAAACCCACACGGGCTGAGTAGGGCTAAAAGTTGTGTCTAACGACTTGAATGTCCCGGAGGCCTAACCCTCCCAAGGACCGGTACTGACCGGCGGGCTGCTCGGTGTGGCACGATAGGCCCAAAATCCGAGTTGTGGGCTGCACAGCAGGTCGTCTAAGTCTTAAGAGACCTGCTGATCGCGCCGTCCTGTCTGCGACGTTAAATAATTCACGAGGAGTTACGGGGCATCTCCTTAAATGCCTCCTGATCAGCAACAGGTCTAGTAGTGACATCCATAGTTAGGTCCAGGCTAGAGACCCTAGTTGGCAGGATCCCTGTCCGGATTCTGCGAGTCTTAGATTGAGTCAGTAGGTCTGTCAGTCAGGGGTTGGAGTCTAAGTGGTTAGGAGTGGTCTGTCACCATGGTGGACTTGCGTAGTGGGAAGAGCACTAGCCCCTACACCCCTGAGCAGCAAGAGAAGATGGCCGCCCTAGTGAGAGAAAACAAAGAGAGGAAGAAGCTCGAGAAGCAGGCGAAGCAAAAGGCAATCGCCGAGGAGCAGGCGGCAAAGATGAAGAAGTTGGAGGAGGAGATGAAGAGTGTTCAGCAGGAGGAGGAAGAGAGGAGAAAGGCTGCTGAAGAAGAAGCAGCAGAGGAAGAAGAAAAAGAGAAAATGCGTATTGAGAGTAGAGAGGGGAGTAGTGGCACGAAAAAAGATGAAGACTCGGAGATGGAGAAAAAGATAAGTGAGTGGGTCGCTAATTTATCATTGGGGGAAGATAAGGAGGCAGAGTCTTATGTGCCTCAGGATGAGAGAGAGGCGTTAGCCAGGGAGCTGATGGCTATGGAGGACCCCATGGAATGGTGAGAAAGAGAGGACGAGCAAAAGTTGGAATGGAAGTTGAGGATGAAGAGGGAGAAGAAGAGAAGGAGGGAGGAAGTCAACAGGCTGACCGCAGAGGTGGCGAAGGTGCAAGATTGTAGGAAAGAAGTGCAGGCCCAGACAGACGGTAAGGCGAAATGGGATAAGGTGTTGGGGTACCTGGAGGTGATGAGCGCAACATGGATGGAGGAGCGCCAAGCCAGTTGGAGTCAAGACGTAGCCTCGAGTGCCATGAGGTCGGGGTTTAGGGACCTTGCGCGCGATATGGTTACCCACGTTGGGGGAGAAGTCAGGAAGTTGAGAGACAACATGGGAAAGTTCTACGAAGGTGCCATTGAAGATGCCAAAGCGATAGCCGCTGTAGAGGGCGAGGCCAGACCCCGTAAAGAGCCAGTAAAGCTCAAGTTCCCAGATGCATACGGGGGGAAGGAGGAGGAGAACTTTGACAACTGGGAGGCCAGTGTCAATAGTTATGTGTACTTGCAGCATATCCTTACAGAAGAGCAAGTCCTCGTAGCTTTCCAGGCCCTCAAAGATGAAGCGGCCAGTTTCGCCAAATCCCTTGCGCGCGCAGCAGGTTGTGAAAACAACCTGGTTGCCTATTCTAAAGTCACTCCCCTTCCTCAATTCTTCAAGCTACTGAGGGAGCGATTTGCTGATCCAACGAGAGGCGTCAAAGCCTCTGATAAATGGCAGACGATCCACTCACGACAGTGGAGTGCAAGAGCACTCAAGGGCGTTATGGACGACTTGGTAGCCGTCGCAGACTATGGGGTCACTGAGACCCAATTGGTCCAGTTATTTTATCGTGCCATGCCAGAGGCCTTGCGTGGGCATTTCTTTGACAAGTCTCAAAAAGGCCGGCATCACTTCTGATGCGTTGAGTAGGGAAGTGGTCTTGTATGAGTCAAAGTCCATGCCAGTCACCACCTTCTGGCATAAGGACCTCGATAAGGGAAAAAGGTGGAAGCGTCGTACCATCTCGGGCCAAGTCAGGGCCAAGGATCACATGATCCTTACCTTAGAAGAAGGTGGTACAGATGAGGTCCCATATAGTCAGATTGAGGGGGGCCTCGAGGAGGAGGACAGTAGCGTGGGGCAGGGGAGGTCCTATGTTGCTGTCGCGGCTGGAGGGAGGCCGCAAAGTAGAGGAGGAGGCCAAGGCCAAAGGGGCCAGGCCATGGGAGGCCGAGGACCGGGCGCACAGGGGGTTGGCGGACAAGGGAACCGCCAAGTGGGAGGTAGGGGTCAAGGTCCCCCGCCAAATCGCCAGGGTTCTTGTCGGTCCCCACAACGAGGAGGTAGAAGGCCACCTCAAGGAGGATGGCACCCAGGCGTGCCACAGGGCAGGCCCTGGGGAGATTTGGGCTTGGACCAGCGTTTATGGCAGGAACGCGCTGAGGCATTAGTTTCCTAGAGATGCCAAACTCCTGTCCCAGTTCACTAGCCTTGACCCAGACACGTTCCCCTACCTGAAATGTAGACTGTCGACGATGCTTGTTCTCATAAACAATCATGACCTCCTGAGATTTCTTAATGTGCTCGACAGTCTGCTGCAGCAGTTTCTCATACTCGACACCAAATTCGATGGTTCCAGGAGTTGCAGCAGTTCGATTTCAGGCAGCAGGAAGTCTAGAGAAGATCTAGGCTTCCATCCCAGATGTAGTTGGTTAGGACTGACACCGATGGTGTTGTGTACATCGTTGTTGTACAGACTGGCGATGAGAGGTAACTTTTCATCCCAATCATCCTGGCTGGGCTTGATGTAATGCCTCAGCGGATGCTGCACCACTCGGTTCATCTGTTCAGCCTGTCCATTTGCTTCGGGATGATTCCCAGAAGTCATCTGAAGCTGGCTGCCCATCTGTTCAGCGGCCTTCTTCCACATCTCACTAGTGAAACGGACATCTCTATCACTAACGATAGTCTTAGGCAATCCAAAATCACGCACCCAGTTGTCCATGAACAACTTGATGACGTGCTCAGTCCTGGCAGTCTCTGGCATGGCGATTAGTCTAGCGTACTTAGTGAACCTATCCACTATGACGAAGATGTGCCACTTGCCATTCTTGCTGGTCACAAGAGTATCCATGAAGTCCATGGAGATACTCTTCCCTTGGCCAGCACGAATGGGTAAAGGCTTGAGTAACCCAAGCAGAGCTTGAGCCCGTGAACCTATCCCATATTGGCTTGCGTCAGTGGTTACAACGAACGGCCTTTGCGGGTCGGGTACCATGAGAACCTCATGATGCGCGAGAGCATGCTTCAAACGCTTGAAAGCTGCCTCACACTCGTCGGTCCAGTCCCATGGTGTATCGAGTCGAGTTAGATCAGTCAAGGGAGATGTAATCGTGCTATAATTCTTTACAAAATTGCGGTAATAAGCACACATTCCCAAGAATGATCTGACCTCAGTCACAAACTGGGGTCGTGGCCAGTCACGAATGCTAGCCACCTTCGCATCTTCGGGCCTAATTCCATCTGCGGATACCTCATGAGCCAAGTACGGGATTCGAGTGCGACCTAACTCGCATTTCGCAAAGTTTATCTTATACTTGTGCTGCCGAAGGAGTGAAAGTACTTTGTCTACATGCTGAGCATGCTCCTCAACAGATGTACCAAAGATAAGCATGTCGTCAAGGTACACAACAACAAACTTGTTTAAGTAGTCATGGAAGATCCTGTTCATGGCGTGTTGGAATGTACCCGGTGCATTGCAAAGGCCAAAAGGCATCACCACAAACTCATAAAGACCGTACCTGGTCTGGAATGCGGTTTTGTGCTGGTCCTCTGGTCTTATGGCAATCTTATGGTAGCCGGATTTTAAGTCACCCCTGCACCCTATCCAATAGGTCGTCGATGCGTGGTAGAGGCTGTGCGTTCTTAACGGTGACGGCATTGAGGCCTCTATAATCAATGCACATCCTTGGTGGGAAGTGCTAGGCCGAATCCAACCCTTCTCTGTGAGCTCTTTCAGTTGCCGCCGAAGTTCGTCCAACTCGACTGCAGCCATCCTATAGATTCTACCCTTAGGTGTTTTACTTCCTGGGATAATCTCCATGGCATGGACAATCTCCATGTCTACGACTCCTGTAGGCTCCTCGAACAGATCTGGGGGTGTTTTAACGGCCTCCCCTTTTGCAGAGACATAGACTAAGTACATTCCTTCCTCTTGGTTCTGTTTATAATAATTATAAAAGGCAGATGCGCATAAGCACCCATAGGAGTCTACTAACCTACTGGCTTTGTACTTGGCCAGTCTCACGGTTCTCCCACTAGGCAACTCATGCTTCAACACCTTCTTGTCCCAGTCAAACGGGGGCTTGGCAACCTCGAGGTAGTACATGCCCAATAACATGTCAAAGGGCAACTCGTCGCTCACCACGAATGATATCTTGTGGTTTATCTCTCCTCCTGGGTAGGAGAAGGTGCAGACTACATCTTTAACATAGTCCTCCACCATCATGCACTCTTTGTTGGCCAAAGTAGATGCTACCGGTCTACTAAGGCGCTGCACCCGGTCCTTTAGGCACAGTCTGTCAACGCAGTCGCGACTTATGAAGTTTTGTGTGGAGCCAATGTCTACGAAGGCGCCGCACTTGCGACCGCCCACATCAACTTCCACAACGAAGTGCTCCCCTCTAGGCCCTCTATTCTGTGCCACCCAGGACTCACGAGGGTCCCTTGCGGACCACTCACCTTGAAGGTCCTCTAAGGCCTCAGACACATCCAACATACACAGTATAGTTGGGTCCGGATGCGTCTGCGGGGTGACTAAGGAGTCAATAGCTTTGGCCATCTCTTGAAACGGGGAGGGTACATCACCCGCTTCAACGAGAGTAGAAGCAGCTATAACTTCTACTGGCCCTAAGTGTTTCCCGAGCTGGAGCTCATAGAGGCCCCAGATTGAGAAGAGGAGAACCCACCCTTGGGAGGGATCTTCTGCGAGACCTTCGGGTTCTTGCATTTAAACTGTGTGTGACCATACTCACCGCAGTTAATACAAGCACCAAGAGACCAACGGTCCCGCCACACTTCTTGATCCAGACCTGCTCTAACCCAAGCAGCTATTTTGTTTGGGTTAACGGCCTGCCCCTGACTCCTTTGTTGACCGCCCTTGCCGCGGCCAGCTGCCTTAGTCTTAACTACGGCGGCGAGGTTGCTACCCTCAGCACTCTCCTCGCCGTCAAACTCTGAACCCTCCACAAGATCGAAAATATCATCGATCTCGGTTTGATTTCCATCGGAATCAACCATCATCAATCGACTACCCTTCTTCTTCCACTCTTGTGGAGTCTTCTTCTTTCTCCCGTCCGTAGAAGGGGTTTGAGCTCCACCCAGCGTAACCTCTAAGTCTAGGGCCTTCTTGCTGAATGACTCAAAGGTGTGATACTCTCCGCGAGCCTCGCTGGCTAATAAATTTCTAATGTCTGTGGGAAAAAATCTCAGGAACATGGTCAGCAAGACCTGTGGATTGTACTCCACTCCCGGGACGACGATCAGGCGCTCTACGGCTGTGGTGAGTTCCCGCACAGACTTGTACTTTCTAGTATCAAGTTTCAAGAGCCCATCAATGGCAATTTGTGCTTGTTGAGGGTTGTGCCAACGAGCCTCCACTAAGTCCATAAAGCTTTCTAATGTGTGGGTCTGCGCCCAATCATGCATATTCTTGCCGAAGCCCTTTGAAGCTACCAATCCGTTTAGCCAACGGGCTGTTGAACCCTCTAAGTAGGATGCAACAGTAATCACCTCCTCTTCTACCAATGTCCTTTTGGCCCTCACCCACACTGGCACCGTTCTCAACCATGTGTCGAGAGCCTCATCCTTCTTGTCTCCTGAGAAGGTTGCAGGTGGGTTCACTAGGGTCTTGGGATACCAAGGATATTGTTGTCCCGCTTGCGAGACAGCTGGCGACTGTGGTGTAGCAACAGTCGCTGGACCAAAAGATGAAGAAGCAACAGTTTGAGATCGTGCTATTGTTGATGAAACACTTGGTGGTGGTCCTGACTGAGCGGCATAGAGGCTTGTCATCGCTGAGAGAGGCAGTGATGGTAAAGCTGCTGGCCGGATCCCTGGCTTATGTAGCACTTGTAGGATCTGGTCTAGAGTATCCTGCATGGCGTCCATTTTGTTGTCTATGTACGCATGCATGGAGAGGACATTTGCCTTCAGGATCTTTCCTGTAGTGTTTAGGGCAGTGTCATCTAATGCCTCTAGCTGAACTGCGAGCCCGCCATTTGACTAGTGCCAACCCCTGACGTACTGGAGATTGACTGTGAACTGGTCGGCATGCCTAGCCCTTGACCAATTGAGTTCGCAGCAGTTGCTGCGGAAGTAGCATTACTCATCGCTACCGCTCCGGATCTAAAAATAAATAATTAAATAACTGCCCGGCGAGTTACCTAGTCTACTAGTTAAGCGGCATCAACAGCATCTACACAAACTGTACACATTGTCTAACTCTTATTCTGATTAGTCTGCACAGAAGATTCGAGAAGAACTGACTATGGTAGATCACAGTCCTACTCTACTCTGTCTGTTAGGTGTCAGCAGTCGGTCAACCAACTAATCAAAATAAAAACTTAGACAAGTGTGAGCAGATGTATGCACCGTGAATATGTCAGTGATGTACAGTTGAGTTCACAATTGGAATCCCCTTCCCCTGTATCCAATGTACCCGTGAGCATCATCAAGTTGTGGTGTCTAAGGTGTGCAACCACGCCCCACCCCTGTGCCTAAGAAGTATGCTTATGACCAGCCTGCCCCTTTGTTTACCCTCGCGTGCAACGAGCCTTACGTCTGACTGATCTGGCTGATCAGGAGGGATTTAAGGAGAGCCCCCATCTCCTAAGGAATTATTTAACGTCGCAATCGGGACGACGATCACAACCAGTGGACAGATCAGACCCCAACCAGAAATGTTTATAGACGGTCTGGGAGCGTCTCAATAGGACTGGTCAGTCCGCACACCCCTTCTATCAGCGCAGCAAAGAGCCTCAATGGACAAAGCAGCCATCGCATGCGTGTACTAATCCCATTGAGTTGGCATGGTGACCGTGACCCACGTGCATCGGCCAGGGCCCTTCAAAGGCACCGCCCTCTCCTGCCAGATGCGCCACCGGGAAGAATGTCGTCTCTCAAGATAGAGCGCACACGACTCCTCACCAAAGAGAGGACACTCAAGTTGGACTCACTTCCTCACGGTAAGAAGAGATTGAGAGGGTAGATAAGGAATGGGAACAACGTACCTGAAGATAGCTGCGCTGATGTGCATTTCGATGACCGGTCAATAGCCTCGGTACCACCCACAACGCAATGTAGTGCCACAATGTAGTGCCACCTCAGCCAAAATGCCACGTCGACAAACTCTCATCATCATGTATACATCCGTTGTCGCCACAGCCTTCCAGCGGCTGGCCTCTCTACCTAGGCCCCGCTATTCAACCAGCGGCAAAGTATACTCACTGCACATGAAGCATCCTCAGCGCACCAAGTTACAATGTCACCGGTGTCAGGTAAGCGGTGATCATCAACCAGCTCCGATACCAAATTGCTAGGAATATGAGTGTGAGCGATATACATAAAACCATGTTGCGAAATCACACAGCTGAGCAAGTAGTAGTATCCCAAGTAGAGAGTACAAATGCACCGAGAAAACCATCCATAAAGAGAAATACAATGAAGTATTGAGCCAATGTCCAAGCCCGTAGGCCACACCAACACAGTATCCAGAGTCGCTCTCTCTGTCTGGCGCACAACGGCCAGCCTACTCTACCATACTATCCTACTCTACAGCTGGTTCACACAACAGGATCACTTCGGCTCACGAAGACCAATGTACGTGACTGTCAACACCATCGGCAACCTCTCTTCATGTGCCAGGTGCGTAACTCGTCATCCTCAATCAGACTTTGATTATCCCACACAGCGCCTCACTCCCTGAAGACCACCCGATCATCCGCTGTACCCCCTGGCGCCCAGCAGCCCGGCTATGGCTGCCTGCGCCCCGCTGCCCTGCAGCGCCCCACTACACCTCTTGCGCTCTGTCAGCGCCCTTGGCAGCAGCGCAGCATCAAGGCAATAGCGCAGCAGCACTTCCCCAATGCCAGCACTGGCCAGAATGCCTAGCCTGGGCTGCCTCACTTCCTTTATGGAAGTGGCAGCCTGCTGCATGCTGCGTGTGGCCTGGCTGGAAGCTTCCAGTAGCTTCTGGTTGGGCCCCAGACCCTGTGCCCATGCTGAAACTTACAGTTGAGGGCCTGGGCCCTTTACAGTTGGGTGCGGCCTTAGTCTCCGGACTTGGGCTGTTAGCTGCATCTGCGCAGGGGCCCCAGGTAGGTGCGTCGGCTGTACTGCTTTTCCAAAGGCCGACGGCCTGCTTCTCAATGTATCGGCCCTGCTTTATGTGTAGGTGCCCAGGCAAAACTTTCGTGGCCTGGGCCAACTGTACGACGCAGCTTAGTGAGGCTTGCGCGTTCACTCAACCAACTGACGCGCTGCAAGAGCCTGAATACCCACATATAGAAATGTCGAATTTGGCCTGTGACGAATTTTCAGGCCCGCCTTCACTTAGGGCGGGCACTTGGCTTGCTGGGGCCTTGGCCCAGAACAATGTGA